GTCCTGGCTTCATACCCACCCGCTCCCATTGCCGTGCCCTCCACCAGCCACGCAGCCCCATCAAACACAATCCACTGGTATAGTGCAAGTCCAGAGGGTCAGGCTGGTGCTCACCCTGCGAGAGGTTTTCCTCTTCCAATACAGTAAAAAAAACAAGTGCCAAAGTGGAGAAAACCTCCAAAGGAAACACATGGAGTGTGGCAACAGGAATGATTTTTTTTTTCCCCTCCTGCAGGACAGCTGCTCCCAATGACTGCCAGCCACCGTGCCCTGTAGGACAGCACGCTGGGGTGCCCAGCCCCAAGCCAGGCAGCGAGATAAAGCTCAGGGAGGTGCTGTGAGTCACAGAGGGCTGGACCAGGCTGGGCAGCCGCACCGCCACGCTGCTGAGCACATGGTACCCCAGCTCCCCGGGATGCCCCAGCACCCACGCAGCCTGCAGAGAGAGACGGCACGCCCGGAACACTGAGCGGTACGTAGGCTTGTCCCATCCCTGACCATGGAAAAGAGGTTTCTAGAGCATGACTGAAATAATGCCTTTCTGCAGCACTTCTGGACCAGGCTGGGCAGCCGCACCGCCACGCTGCTGAGCACATGGTACCCCAGCTCCCCGGGATGCCCCAGCACCCACGCAGCCTGCAGAGAGAGACGGCACGCCCGGAACACTGAGCGGTACGTAGGCTTGTCCCATCCCTGACCATGGAAAAGAGGTTTCTAGAGCATGACTGAAATAATGCCTTTCTGCAGCACTTTAACTTACTGGCAGGTTGGAGGGTTGCACAGGGAATGTTTCAGTGGTTCCTCCTTCTTGTAGTATGGAGCTGAAGGCATCCTTTCTGCAAGGTGCAGCTGTGCTGGTTTCATAGACAGAATTAATGAACTACCTGTGTTAACAGCAAGGGTTAAATCTGTGTTTCCACCCATTTCGGGCTATGTGGTGGAATCAGCTGTGGGACCTGTGGTCCAGGTCAAACCCTTTTACCCACCATGGCTTCGGAGGAAGTTGCAGGGTGTTCACTATACAATGCTCCAGCGCACAACCCGGACTGCTGGGACACCTCCCAGGCACTGACTAGGAGCCCTCGGGGTGCTGGCACCCAGGGCTTTGCTAGCTGCCAGAGATGCTTTTCAGGTCCTCCCATATGTGCAATTACTAAAATCCAGAGTCCTTCACCATGGCTGCCCAGTGGAGGGACTGCTGCATGGCGTGTGCTTTCAGCTCCAAGAAGAGCCTCTTCCCAGCAGCCAGCCAGCCTGCTGCCAGCCTGGAGCACCAACATTGCTGTCCCTGCTTTTGCCCTGGGCTTTTGGCACAGGCCACTTTGGTACAACCTGCATCCACGGCACAGGGATCCCCACCCAGCTGCAGTTGCCATTCCCATGCTGGAGGGGATGTAATCACTCTCCTCCATCTCTCATCGCCGCCGTAGCTCCTGATTCACTGCTCGGGGAAACCTCACTGGAGAGGTGAGCTCATGGGGATTTAGCTTTGTGCTCAGTGATACGTACAGAGACCTGGGCAAGCAGCCACCAGTGGCAAATGAAAGAACAAGACACAGAATGGGTGGCAGCCATGGATGGGTGATGCTCCTTTGGCAGCCGTGTGCAGGATGGGGCAGTCCCTGCCCTGAAGCAGGGATGTGGCTGCAGCAGGCACTGAAACCAGCCTGTGCCCTTTGCACCAGCCCCACAGCCCAGCTTCCCCAGCAGCACCTCCAGCTGTCACCTCCCACCTTGGCTGCAGTTCTGCTCCCATTGAGGCTTGGCCACTGTGGGTGGCCCCAGCCCCACACCCCTGCCCACTGCCGTGCATCCTGTTTGGCTTCTCTTTCAGGATCAGGGCCTCACCCCGGTTAACTATTGATTTGTGCTGGGGGCAGTTTCGCCATAAGATGCCCTCTCCAGCCATTTGGTGGATGCAGCAGCTGGCCAGGCATTTTTATGAGCTGAGGAATTTATAAACCCTCTGGCAAACAGCGCTCTCCTCTCTCTGAACTCAGCAAAGCTCAGTCAGATTGACTCCTTTAAAGACTAAAAACGGCATCATAGCATCCTCCATCCTCCTGTGGTGGGACCAGCTCTGGACACACAGTGGATGTGCACCCACCCCACCCCAGTCCCTCTTCTGCACCCGCACACTTCATTTCACAGGAAAATCTTGATTTTTGGAGCAGTGACATGCTGGCTGTGGACATGGGTGACATCTGGCAGCCGCTCTCTTTGGAGCCACATCCCTACCCTGCACCAAAATGAAGGCTCGTTCGTGGTCAGGGACTGGCTGGGAGAGAGGGGGATGTATGGGGCTCGAAAGCAGGAAAATAACAAAAAACAAACAAACAAAAAAACCCAACCAAAGAGAAAGGAAGTTTTCTTCTGCCCTGGGAGGAAATAGGAATATTCACCTGCCACATCCTGGAACACCTGCCTGTGAGGGCAGGAATGTGCCCTGGTTTCTTCTTGGCAGCAATAACTCGGCACTGCCAAGCGGCACTTCAGTCCTGAGCAGGCTCGGGGTGGAGCCTTTGCCTTACAGCCCCACAGAGCTCATTAAAAATATTTGTCTGAGAACCTTTTTGTTCCTGGAATAGTTTTTAGGCAAATAATTTTCAGGTTTATTAGACAAATAACTCTGTTTATCCCCTTCCACTGTTCCTTCCTTTCTCCCTCTCCTGCAAGTCGCTCTCTGGCAGGTACCAGAACACAAACCATCTTTTTTTTCTGCACAATCCTGGCCAAAAATAAAAATAAATAAATAAAAATCAATCTGAACAATTAAGAGAATATGAATATGATAGAAATCCCAGGACAGGGCTACCCTCCTGTAATGCAGCCAAGTTCCAGGAATTTCTCCACCCAGGGACCTTGCCCAATAAATTTTACCTGGGATTAAGGTGAAGATAAATAGCCCAAATAAATAAGTGACTTCCCTAAAGCTGTAAGGTTTATCGTTTTATTTTTTCCATTTCTCTCCCTCTGCAAAGAAATCAATATGTGCATAGAAAAAAAAAAACCCCACGAATTTGGCAAAGGAGAGCACTGTGCAATGAGCCCTGGTGGGGCTGATGTCCCCCGCAGCATCAGGGACCAAACAGGGATGATCTCACAAACCGAGGGGAGTTTTGCTCCACTTGCTGTGTCCCGATCACAGCCCATATCTGAATCCTTACCAGCTCCAGGCTTTGCTCATGGCACTAGGAGGGGAACTACAACCAGCTCCAAAAGCAAATCAATAACAATTTCAAAGACTTTGCAACTTGCCAAGGACGATTTTAAGGTCCGTTCTTCTGCCCCCGTCACACCTGTCACCTCATCAGGCTCTGGGCTGGGGAGCCAGGCGTGGGAGAGACTCCCTGTGTTTGAAAAGCAAAACCTTATGCTGGAAGGAGCAAAAGGAAAGATACAGCCCTGTCCCACCAGATCCAGTCACAGGCAGCATTTGTCCTCCAAAACCTTTAAATTGTCCATTTTCAGGTGTGTGGCTCTTCCACCAGCTCAGTGAAATGGGCTTGTTTGTGCCAGCTCTGACAGGAGTTTAAAACCCATTTCAGGGATACCGTGCAGGGAAGAGTTGCGGGCATCGCGGAACCCCGTGCCACCTCCTGCAGAGACAGATTCCCACTCATGGCCACCTTCCTCTGGGGGGAATAGCTGCAGAGAGGAGAAGTGAGATGCTGCTGGGAAGCAAGAGTGCTTATCCAAGACCCTATTGAAAACACACTGCCACAACACACAAGCGAACACAAATATTCCCAAACACAAATCCCAAGGCTTCCTTTACAACACAGACAAGCCATGAGGCCACCAGAGTAGATAAAAGCACAACAGAGGGGTCTCACTGGGCGTGGTGCTGAGCTCTGGCTTCGGACATCTGAACCATCACTGCTGGGATGCTCCTCTGGCCAGGCACTGGCCACCCTGACCTGCTGCAACCTCCCTCCAGGTCGCAGGACAAGCAGAAAAGCAGCAGCTTTCCACCTGCAGTGCAGATAGTTTTCCTCTTTGTTTTTAAGGCTGCCTAAAGCTCCTTAGGGTGCTGCTGCAACCTACCCCAGGGTGCAAAGGGGGAGCATCTCAGGAGGGTGCTGAGGGGGAATGTGGGCCAAGGGGGCCAAGAAAGGGCACTAAGGGAGGATGCTGCACGATGGTGATGGGCAATTCTCCTGAACAAAAGCCCACTGGGCAGGAAGCAAAGCTCTTCTCTGCTTCCTTATGACGCAGCAGCCTGAAATCAGCTTTCAGCCCAGCCCTGCTACAACCTGTTGCTCCTTATTTACCCTTCAAACAGGAAAAGCAACTCTCAGCACAGTCCTTTTACAAATTTTCTTTCAAAGGGCTGCTTTAGTTAACATTAGGTTCTCTAACTCTGAGCACACGTTTCACAGGTGACAATTTGCCTTAGGACACCAGGGTGGTTTCCAGGACGGACGTTCATCACGTTGCAACCCCAGATCTCGAAGGTAGGAGTGGGTCCCTAGCCCCTGGGAGCCCAGTGCGTGGGGTGGCAAATGCCCATCCCATCCGTCAGGGCAGCAGTGGGAAAGAGAGGGGCAGATGGACTCGTTTGGGTAGGAAATAGCTCATGTTCCAAATTACAACCACTCCCCATTTGTGTGGGTGAAGATGCTGGAGGATTTGGACAAGTGGAAGCATTTCTGTTCTTAAGTCAGGCATACCCAAAGCTCTGCCCAGCTGAGCGGCACTGCCCTTCTTCCCTTCCCTTTCTGGTTTTAAGGAGGATCAGCTTGTTTCTGCAGATTCCTCTGACTGGGCAGGGCCAAATTGCAGCTTGTTCTCAGACAGCATTTTGCAGCCCCTAGTAGCTGAAACCTACTTTGCATCATTCCAGAAGGAAACGCAGCAAAGCTGTGATTCAAAATCCACTCCTTGAGCTCATCACTACCAGCAGGATAGAAAAGCATGATCCATTGCTGAGAAAAGGATGCGAAACAGGAGCACACAGGGCACTGGGCAGTCACGGGGAAGAGTTTAGAGGTTTCAAAATGCAGCGAGCTCAATCAGTGCAGCCTGCTCCAAGGTATGGGAGCCAGGGCTTCAACATCAGGGTGGGACTGAGCACGGGTGCCTGACAGGAATTTATACATCTTTGGTGACCTCTTAGTTTTTGCAAATATGCCTAAACATAGCAATTATTTTTTCTTCTAATATCTGCCTGGCTTTGGCGGGTTACAGGTGTGCTTTATGGTATTTCCTTCTTTGTCCTCAGGGTGACCTGTGACCCCTGTCCCCCTCCCTCAGTTGTGCTCTCTCTCCCCACCACCATGCGGGTGACAGGTAAGGAGGGAGACAGAGATTTACTTTTCTCTGTCCATTTTTCTACAGTTCTTTATGCCTCCTTCTCATTTACATGACCCCTTTCAAGCCCAGCTCTCCTGACCTTCCCCTGCCAGGGCCATGGGAAAGGGCTTTTGTATACGCATCAGATTTTTAACAGATTTGTGTAGATTTCAGCCTGTTGTATTTTTCCCAGTGAAACCCTCTGCGGCTGGGAAGAGATGGCTATTGAGACTTTCCTGGTTCCATAAGAGCCATTCAGTTGCAATATGAGTATATTTTTCCACTCTCTTTCCATGCAGGACTGGAACGTTTTGCTCCGATGAGTGCTGCTTTAGAGCCAAATGCCAATCACATTTGTATTAGCAGCTGCTCAGCTGTAGCTAGTGACTAATTGGGGGATAGCAGCCTTCCCAGCACTGGGAACCTAAGAAATATTTGGATTTACCTAGCTTTCTGACTAATTATCAGATTTACTTTAATGCAGAGAGAAATATGAATAGTGCCTCCCAGTAGAAGGGTAATGCCTATCTGAGCATCGACACACGCTCTAGAGATATTAATTAAGAGATCAGAATCCTTTTAGAGGATGAAGGAAGGAGTGTCAGCTGCCTTCCCACACCACACAAGCACTGGCTGTCACCCTGTGCTTGGTAACCTAGGGACCCATGGACCAAGCTCCCAGGAAGCCAGAGGGATGGTCCAGTCCCTGACCCATGCTGCTGCTGCTGCTCTCACCTGGCTCCTCTCCCCGCTCTCGCAGGCCTGATCCGGTACACAGCACTGTTCATCATGCTGCTGGGCGCGTGGTTCGTCGTGCAGATGTACTTCGATAGGAGCTGGAAAGCTGTCAGCCTGCGGAGCTGGCTCGGTGAGGCTCCAGCTGGATCTGGAGGGAGGGTGTGGGTGGCCCCATTGCAAGCCAGACCCCCAGAGCTGTGTATAGTTGCCATGAACTTTTGCACTCACAGTCCCTGGCCAGGGCTATAGCCACCAGCTCTGATCCTCAGGGCAGGGAAGGGACAGCACGGTGGGAAGTTGCACCAGGGTGGGTGGCTCTGGGGGTGCTTGCAGTCACAGGGAGCAGCTTTGGAGAGCTGGTGGTGAACAGCTGCTCCTGGCTTGGGGGAAGAGCCAGCAGCTCTCCAGGGTGTCTAACCCTCCTGCTTGGTACCCACAGGTGCCAACGACAAGCCCAGCAGTGAGTACCGCTCTCGACTTCATCTCCATCACACAAGGCAAAAATCCCACCCTTCCAAACACAGGGGAATTTCATCATTGCAGACAGCAGCAGTGTCTTTGGTGGGCTCTGCAAGCACACGAACCTTCATGTGATCCCCCTTCCCCAGCAGAAACATGCCCAGGCCACAGGCTACAGCAGGAAGCAGGTCATGGGTCCCATACGGGCAGCGTAGCACAGGTCCCTACCCTGGCCAAGAATGGGGAAACTCCAGGCAGAAAAGCCCCAAGGGGCTGGCCTTGAATGAGTGCCAGCTCCCAATGCTCCCTGGAACACACCCTCTGAAATGCCCATGGCAGCAACCCTGTGTCCCACTGCTCACACACAGAGCAGCACCCGGCACCTTGGCCAGCTTGTCCCCCTCTGAAATGCCCATGGCAGCAACCCTGTCTCGCACACAGAGCAGCACCCAGCACCTTGGCCAGCTTGTCCCAGCCCACCCCAAGCCTCAGCACCATCAACTTCAAATAAGAAGCTGGTCCCAGCCCCAGGAGGGGCTTCTTGCTCCTTCATGCAAGAAGCTGGTCTAGGAGTTACCCCCTTAGTGGGCCACTGTGCCTGAGTACCAGCCCTAGTCAGCCCCCTGGGGACACAGCTGGTGTCCCCTGTGAGGCCAATGCCATGGCTTCCAGTTCTGCTCCTCCCTCGCAGGCCAGCAGCTGCCCCAGCACAAGTGCAGGAATCAGAAGAGCTGTCCCCAGAACTATTTTGCCTTCAAGATCATCAGCGGCGCCGCAAATGTGGTGGGACCCTCCATCTGCTTTGATGACATGGTGTAAGCAGCACGTGGTGGGGATGGGGCAGCCATGGCTGGCCTGGGCTTGAACAGGGCGAGTTTGGCCTCTGCTGAGCATGTTGATGGCCATCACAGTGCATTTGTGGTTAAAGACATTTGGAAATAGTAGGGATTTTGCTATCGCTTCTGGTGATATTTTGCTGTCTGCAGCCACTTTTTCCCAGGGCAGTGTCACTGGCACAAGCATCTCCAGGGCATCCCTGCACTTACTGGTGCTCTCTGCTTTCCTTTCCAGCCTCCTGAGCAGTGTGAAAAACAACATTGGCAGAGGCCTGAACATTGCACTGGTGAATGGTGAGTCGGGCGGGTGCTAAGCCCCCTCTCCCCACGGCCAGGGTCCCTTCCTCCCTCAGGAGGGGACAGACCACCAGGGACCACATCCCAGGCACTGTGGCTGAGCCAAAAGTGCATCAGTCCAGCATTGCACGGGGTGCACGGCCACAGTTATGGCTGCAAGCGTCACCAGTGAGATGGGAACAAACCCACCTGGTGCACCATGGCTCCGTGAACTCCACCAAGCAACACATTCACCATCGCAGCAAATACAACACACCGAGGGAAGAGCAAAGCATTTTGCAGCAGGAACCTCAAGCTGGTGGTCAGGCAAAGCCTGGAGCTATCCCAATGCAAACTCACTGTTCTTCCTTTTGAATTTTAACCTTTCAGGAACAAGTGGGCAGCCCCTGAAAGTGGACACGTTCGACATGTACTCCGGAGGTAAGCGCGGTGGCTTTGCTGCTCGGCGGCTCCCAGCCAGAGCTCACACCAACACTGCTGGCTGCCGGCTATTGAGGCTGCTCCTCTGTCGTGTGTTTAATGATAAAGTCTAGTGGACTTTGAACAGGATTGCCAGCTTGGGCAGTAAAAGCTCAGTTTTCCCTGAGGCCACTGAGCCCTGAGTCCTCCTAATGCAGCCACATCTGGGGTTGGCTTCTCCCTCCTTTTATGTGCACGTAATAGCCTGAAAAACATTAACTCCACTAAACTGAATAAACCAGGGCACCTGAGATCTGAGAGGGGCTACTTTCTGAGGTGAGGTAGTTACACTAATCCTGAGATTTTGCAACTTTCAACTCAGTTTTCATATGGTGGTGGTGGTGGCTGAGCAGCAGCTTGTTTCCCTGCCTTTCACAGGAGGGTAAATGAGGAGCTCAGGGCATGGTATGTGAGATGCAGCCCTCAGCCCCAGCAAGGCCGGGCACAGGGAGCAGAATCTGGTGGCAGCAAAGGCCATGTCCCTGTGCCTGTCAGCTTCAAACAATCTTCCTAACAGCAAGGAGATGCCCTGAGCCAGGACAGCACCCGCTCAGGGCATCTCGGCTGGAACTGACCTGCAGGATGCTGCAAATCCCACCGTTGTTGCAAAGCTGTTACCAAACCTCTCCAGAGTTTTGGCAGGACTCCTCAAAATCATGTGCTAACACCACCCCTATAGTGCTTTTGATTTACCCTTTGCTTTTTGAGCCTTTCCAGGGATCAATGGCCCTTTCTGCTTTTTGGTTTTGCAACCTGTTCTTAGTAACTCTGCAGTTTTAAGGAGAAGCACGAATATCTCAAGATTTCCAGCTGAGTTTTCAAGCAAGACACACAGCGGGAGAGGCACCGCGAAGGAGAAGACAGTCGGCTCCTGTGCCACTAGATGGGGCGTTGGACTCGAGCATCCTATGGATGCAGGATGAGGAATAATTCCCACAACACAGCTGAAGGCAGGATCGCAGGGCAGGCAGCTCTGCAGTGAGCAAGCTTGTTTCTCGTGTTGGGAAGTAAATTCCCGTAACAAGATTTCACAGTTAGTGAGCAAGATTTAGGCAGAAATACCCCCTGCAGTTGTTGTGCTGGCAGGAGAAAGCATCAGCCCCGGGCACTGCAGGAGAGCCCAGGTGGGAACACAAGATGGGGAAAGCAGCATCTGGGAGCCCATCCTTTCCCAGGCCCCTGACCCTGAATCCTGGCCAGCAGCAGCACAGTCAGGATATTTCCCACTGACCCAGAGGAGGTTCCCCAGCTGCCATGCAGCAGCCCCTGTTAAATCCTTTTTAATTCTCCTAACGCTTTTCTCCCCTAGACATTACAAAACTGGAGACCTTCCTCCAAGAGATCAAGCACGGCACCATCGTGCTGGTGGCCAGCTATGATGACGCTGCCACAAAGTGAGTTTGGCCCCAGGAGCAACACCTGGCTCCTCAAAAACCAGCAGCTGGAGGGAGCTGGAGGTGCTGCTACCAGCAGCAGAGAGGGGACAGAAGGGGACACCCACCTGGCACCACACTAACTTCTTCTTACCCTCTTTCAGGATGAATGACAAAGTACGGGCACAATTTGCGGAGCTGGGCAGCAGCCACGTGAACAATGTGGGCTTCCGGGACAACTGGGTCTTCTTGGGAGCAAAAGGGCTGAAGAATAAGAGCCCCTTTGAAGAGGTATGTGGCCCTCTCCTGACACCAGCTCCAGAGGATCCCATCCTCTTCATAGCACGTCCTGAGCCACACCACCTACCTCCCTGCAGAAGATGTGGGCCAGTGGTGTTATCCCCCACGTCAAGCCAAGCTGAAAGTTTTGCCATGCTGCAAACTTGACACCAACCCCCTCATTCATTATTTCTCTCTCTTTTTTTTTTTCCCGGAGCACATAAAAAATGATCAGAAGACAAATAAGTATGATGGCTGGCCTGAGCTGCTGGAGATGGAAGGCTGTGCCCCCAAGAAGATGGATTAGCATCAAGCCCCAGCCTGCAACAGAGGCAAGACCAGTTTCACAGGTCCCCAGCCCCACTGTGGGGACCCCAGTCCCATCACACCAACCCCGGCCCCCCCAGCACTCAGTCACACAGCCCAGTGGTGGCTGCCCATGCCCAGGGACTGGCTGTTCCACAGCAAGGGCTGCACAGGGCTTGGAGAAGAGCTGCACAAGTAGCTACAGAGCCTGAGCAAATGCCTGGCCAGGTTTCAGCTGAGCTGTCCTCATCTATGGGTCAATTTGTGGTATTTTATTTTTCTGTCCTTAAACTAAAAACTTCATAGAAGGTTTTTCAGATTTATTAAATAAGATATCTAATTATAAAATTCTACTTTCTCACTTCCATTTTCAAGCATAATCCACATTTTTCCCTGCAGGTACAACATGGCATATCCTCTGCCACCAGCCAGGCATCACCATCACCCATCCCATGGCACTGCATATGGGTGCACCCCCCACCCCCTCCCCATACAGCACAGGACAAAGTCATCCCTGGGGATGCTCAGGCCTTGGTGGTTTCTCCCCAGATCTCCTGCCAACCCCACCGCTGTCTCCTACAGCCACAGTAAGACCAGATGGCCACAGGGATGGCTTGCAGCAATGTAGGTTAACATTTGCAGACTGAAGCATTTCTCCCACCCAGTTGTATCTTTCCTGGGTTAAATCCAAGCTAAATCCTCTGTGGCATGTCCTCAGAGGCAAGGATAATGCCAGCAAGGTGCCAACCTGACTCTGTCCAGCAAAGAGGGAGGGATGGATGTGCAAGTTGCTCAGACAGCTGAAGTTGTGCAGCATAACCAATAGGTGGGAGCCTTTTACTAGGAGAGACGGAGCCAGCGTCAGTCTGGAGTGATACAACACCCCTGCTTCTGGTGTCCCTCTTTTCTCCGTGAGCTGCACCCCAACCCGGCACTGGCCAACACTGCTGGGACAGGAGAGATCTCTGCCCAAACACAGGCCAGCAAAGCCCCACAGACCTCCTTCCAGGGTGGTTTCCATCCTGTTACCCAAAGTTGAGAAGGTCCTGGGGGAGCATCTGCCCCCCACTCGTGTCCAGGTGCATTCCCCAAGAACTGTCTGTGCCCAAAGCCTTCCAGAGCCTGAGCATTCACATCAGATAAAATGAGTGAGTGATGGCCTGGCCTTATCTGTCATTATGGATAGGGACAAATTTGCATCTTATACAGACTTTAATTTCCTTTGATTGTATCTGGGTTGTCTCCATTCTTTAAAGCAGACCAGCAGTTTTGCAGAATGTGAGGGTGGAATATTTCTGCTGGAGCATTTGGAGCTGTGCAGGGTAACACGAGGCAATCCTGGACAGCCTTTCCTGGCCTGTAACAGCAAGGTTTGCCCCAGCACAGCTTCTCCAGGCAGTCCACATTGGTTAACTGAGCCCATAGGTCACCCCAAGGGAGAAGTGAGGAGTGTTGGCAGGATAAGGCCAGGAAGACATACAGCCCATCCTGCACCAGCTACCTTAGGGGTGAAACCCTAGATCCAAAACCCACCATCAGCACCCAAAACCAGCAAGGCAACTGGTTTTCCCTAAACAAGGAAAAATCCCAAAATAAATTGTGTAACACCTATAACTTCCAAAGGCAAAACTGAAATAAAACCCCCAAACAGCCATCACAGAGGAATTCCCCAATAGCTGTAGTATTTTATCCCAGCTTATCCTCCTGCACTCTTAACGTGTGCCTGACCACACCGAGGGAAGCCACCACCATAAATCGATCCCCAAATCTGCTGCAACAGCAGCGGTTAATCCCAAGCGCTGAATCATCCCGACCCGCGGCAGCAGCGAGAAATAACACAACGCAACAGACACAACAGCCCTCACATCACACAGCCCTGCCGCACACGAAATATGCCAACTATTTTAAGCCCTCTCAGAGGATCTAGATTCACTCATAAGCCAAACTGAAAACAGTCCAAGAGCTGTAAAGGTGGCTGCACGGGATAAACCAGCGCACAGCATCAGCTACAACCCAGGAACCAACCAGTCCCTTTCGGCCACAGGAAACTCTCCCTAGCCCTGTGCAATGCACATCAGAAATCTGGTAGATTGATTTTTCAGCACAGGACAGATGGTTAAAACTAGCTCTGAATCTATCGCTGAGCAGTTCCTCAAGTACACCAATAAACAGGGAGAGCTGAAAAGGCAACTCCTGTGCAGGGACCTTAATCATCAGCCAGTGTTTTGAAGAGCCATTCCTGCCAAAGTCCCCATGTCCCAATAAAGAAATCTGAGCTTTTCAAAAGTCCAGAATCTGGGAGGCAGGGGAATAAATACAGCTTCAGGAGGCAAATTTAACTTGCTCACTTTTTAAAAATATCTGAAAAAGGTGATGAGCACAGGGACAGCAATGCCCAAATGAGGTTTTTTAGCGCCTTGGCATTTTGAGAGCTGTATTACTGCAGAGACAGGCACCTACCTGGCTGGTTTTCACCATGCTGCATCCCCCAGAGACTCCAGCAAACACAAGACCTGACCTGCCCGGCCTCCCAGGACGCAGCTCCGGGTAACCTGGCATCACGGTGGGCTCCAGCAGCAAACAAGGTGTTCACAGGAGCAAAGTTTGCAAAATCCAGCGCTGCAGGCAGGTAGCAGAGGGATAATCCTGCCTAATTTTGGGGGGTATGGATTTATTTTGGCAAAACACCAAAGCAGCAGCTAGGAAGGATGCCACAGGCGAGGACCAACGGGTGCCGGGGCCCCGCAGCCGGGCGAATCCGCGTCCTGTGACATCTTGCCCTGTCAAGTGCAATTACTGTAATCTTCCACAGCCTCTCAAAATACGGATCCCAGCTTAGAAACCGGGCATCCGCAGCATGAAAGCTGCCTTTGTGCCCGGGCAGAGCCTGGGCGCGAGCCAGCTGTTAGGTGCGTGAAGAAAATGAGTTCTCCACGTGCTGGGAGAAGGGAGGAAAAGCAAGCTTTCCCGCCCGGCCCGGCTGCAGACGGGCTGGATTTCACCCGTGTTTCCCCACAGCCGAGGGGCCAGGAGCTGCACGGCCACACATCCCCCAGGGAATAACGTGACCGGTGACCACGGAGAACCAGCCGGTCCCACTGCCCGGGTGAGGAGGGCACAGCCAACACATCGGACCATGGGGGCGGCTCACGGGAAAAAGGTAACGGGGCAGTTTCATTCGGGGCTGCTGGAGCGGTGGCGGGATGATGGAGAAGGCTCCATCTGCTCACGTGTTGCTTGTTTTGCCCTGCGCGTGCTAAGGCAGCTGATGGCAGTGAGGGATTAGAAGGAAGGGACCTGCTCCTGGGTGTGGGTATCACTTGTCAGGGCTGGATTAAGTAATTGCACCCGATGGGCTCAGCATGGGGGCCTGCTGGGGCTTTCAGGACAGCCACACACATCTCCCTGTCCTCCAAATGCCCCAGGGAGAGCACCCAAACAGCTCCAAAAGGAAACGGGGCTTCATAGAGTCAGAGCCATGCAGAGGCGGATAGAGATGGTTGTGCTGAGGATGCCGTTAGATGTCATTTTGCTTTCACGTCTGATGACATCAGTGCCTAGAGACACATCATCACTATTCAGTTGTGATGCCCTGATCCAACATTAGACTCTGGAGCTTGTTCCCCAGCTCTGAGTGAAACGCACTTGTGCACCACAGCAGGTCAGTAACTTCTGTTTCAATGGGGACAGCAGTGACCCTCTGCCCCAGGAGGCGTGCTCAGGTGAGCATGGTCTGTGGCCTTCAGAGGGGTGGGCACATCCAAACCTTGCAGAAGTTTACAAACCTGCTGGGCTTCCTTCCCAAATCAGAGCTAGGCACCGTCGCAGGGGAAATGCGCATAAAAGCAACCCACTGGCCAGCGTCACCAACACCCAGAAGAAAAATCAGTGCTGATGTGGGACAAGAAAACGTTTATCTATTTTCCTGGACCTCAGAGAAGTGCCAGGTACAGGCAGTGCTGCTCCCAGCCAGCCCTCCATTTCTCCAGCACCCATCTGAGGTGCCGATGCCGCTCTGGCTCCAGCACACAGGGGAGCCATGGCCGTTCCGGGGGCTCAGGGCTATGACAGGACACCTGGGAGGAGCCGTGTTCTGCCCACAGCTGATCCCCAGACCTTTGCTCACACAGCCATGACCTTCAGGCCTCAGCGCATTTGTAGGGACATTACTGAAAGCAGAGAAATAAGCTGGTTAGGTCAGGCTTGGCCCAGCGCCATCCAGCTCAGCCCTGCTGCATTCAAAGCCATCTATGCCGCCTCTCAACCCCCAGACCAGACAGCTTTTGGACAGCTTTCCTCATTGCTCCCTCTTTCTGAAACACCACGATCCCACTGCAGCCCTGGCTTTGAAACGCTCCCAGGAGCTCGGGCTCTCCTGACACGTAAGCTCGCCCTCAGCTTGCTGGCAGCCCCAAAAAGCTCTGAGACAGTTTTATTTTCATGGGCACCAAAAGGTCAGAGGTTTCACTCTCGTTTTATCCTCCCAAATGTTGTCTGAGTTGACAAAAGCTTGTGCCACTGCAAGGCTAGCACCAAGCAGGGACGGTGCCTTACCCTCAGGCTGAAGCTGATGAGGGATGGAGAAAAGACATCTCCTTCTGCAGCATTTCCAGGGTGGGCATGAACAGCAGGCTCCAGCCCTCCCCAAGGAACAGGATGGGTTGAGGTGATGGGCAGGAAAGCTCTCCTTTCCCCAGCCCTTGTAGAACCAGCCTGGCTCAAGGCATGGGGCAGGTCAAGGGCTCTGCCAGGCACGACCCCATCCAGCAGCTACATCTCAGAGGGGACCCACACAGGAACACAGAGCAGGCTCTCGCCAGCACTGCCTGCATTAGCAGTCTCAGCTGCACCCCTTTTAAGCTTAGACCAGAGCCGCACTCCAAGGAGATTACAGTAGTGGATTGTGGAGTGCAAGGCAATCCCCAGCTCTACAACAAAAGGGACCGGAAAGGCTGCCAGCGTGGCTCCAAGTACATTTCTACTTTCAAAGGCTGTAGCTGC